ACCAGAGCCCTACCCACCACAGGGAAGACATGGGTGTGATGTGCTTACAGCAACGGGTGGTCGCTGTGTCCTTGGCTAGTTGCCTGGCCTTCCATGGATGTTCTAGAAACTGCTTGGGGTCAATCCCAACTCATAAGAAAAGGTGGAATTTATAAATCGCCCTAGAAGAACACAGAGACATTTTTAATTACTTGCTTTCTTTCTCACCAACTCGTTTTAAGAAGCCAGTGCCAAGAATACAATATAATAAGATGGACTGTAGCCTGTACAGCAGGCCCGAGCTGGAAACAGATGATACTAGAACCAGATAGATCTGGGTTCACGTCTTAGCTCATTACGTCTGCTATGAGCAGCCTTAGTTATTTAACCAGCTAGCTTAAACTTGCTAGACTTCAAGTTCTCACATTTGAATTGCTGTTCTGATCCAGTAGTTCTTGGACTTCAGCCAGGGTCAGAACCACCTGACAGGTGGGGGATTTTTATGTTTGGCATGAATTCCCAGGAGATGCTGATGTGGCCAGGATTAGAGTCCTTGCACTCTCAAGGGCCTGAACATAACAAGCAGGGCAGAAACCACCTTGTTTGACAGCAGTTGTAAAATGAGGACAGTGGAATTCCTCTTCCATGAGAACGGACTGCAAGGATGTGAAAGGTCCAATCATACTGGAGTAAATATGAGGATTATTATAAACGTTAAGGGGCATGGTGTAGAGTCTGGATTGCAGTGCCCAGCACATAGTAGGACTATTAAAAATAAACACAAAAAACCACCAGTAACTAAAAGATAGCCATTCACTCGGTGTTGGAGATGCCAGCCTTTTGTCATACATTACGACAAAAAAAAAAATGGAAATAGAGTTGTAACACAAGAAGTTCATATTGCAATCGTGGGTGGCAGGGACCTCCTCCTTGGCTTCCGTTCCAATTCATTATTCAAATCCTTTTACCATGGTCTGTTCTCCCGCTCAGTGCGGAACCGGCTGTGGATCTTGATAAGAGGAGAAAGCCAGACTGTTTCTACTTTGCTCCTGGCAGTCCTCGGGCCTCCAACAGAACTTTCTTACAAAATGAATAATGCTGGCTCCCAGAGAGACCAATCTAATCTCATCTTGTCCACTCGGAAGATCCGTATCAAACATCGCAGACCGTCTTACTGCAGTACTGCAGCCGTGAGGACAGCTAATTCCATCTGGGTTTGCATCTGCCGTTCAAGGCCCATGCGGAGGCATCCGTGCACAGGAGCAGAATTTAACCGGCTGGCTTTAGACTGCTCCTGCTTGAGGGGTTCTTTAAAGAGCCCCAGGACAAAATGATGACAGAAACAGACTAAGTATGAGAGCATTTGATATCCACAGCCTCCTCTAAACAGGCCAAGGATGGATCAACAGCCCAAGCTCCACTGTTTAGAGTCTCCATATTCTGATCAGATTACCACACTATGCCGAGAGACCTAATTTACTAATCCCCTGGAGAATTTTAAATTACTTTAAAAGGGGAGAAAATAAGTCCCTGGTTACTCTTCTTTGAACAGTCCGCCACTTATTCCCTCTCAGCCATTTTCTGAGAGCTTGGCCTACTTCAAATGAAATTACTGGTGAGGTTGGTTATCTAGAATTTTTTTTTTCCTTTTTTCAGTTAGTCGGTATTAAAAGAATCTTAAAAACATGGAACAGTACAGAATACCGAAAATGCTCTACATTTCTTATGACCCAATCTGGCTACATTATCTAGAGGACCTTCAGATTCAACACCATAAACTGTCATTGCCACACACACTTTAAATCTTAGGGATGCTACATGAAATACCCAGTTAGGTCAACTCATGTTTGTGAAATCAACATTTGAACTGTTAGGTACTGGGCTCATTTGCACATTGGCTCCACATTATTCTAACGACCAGATTGTAACATTCATTAGAGTGTGTGTGTGTGTGTGTATATATATATATTTTGGTTTTCTGAGACAGGGTTTCTCTGTGTAGCTTCTTTGCCTTTCCTGGATCTCACTCTGTAGACCAGGCTGGCCTTGAACTCACAGAGATGTGCCTGGCTCTGCCTCCCCGAGTGCTGGGATTAAAGGTCCGCGTGACCACAGCCTAGCTCATTAGAGTATATTCTAAGTTGACTTGGTAACAAGGTGAGAACTCTGCTCACCAGGGAGATTAGGAATGGGTATATTGCTTCTGTGTTTCTTATTGCTTACATTACTTTGGAGCTGAAACTCCAAATCCAAGAGAGGGCTTGGTGAACCAATGAATTCACCAAGCTTTCTTACAGCAGCCTGGGAGACCAACAAATGCTGGGACCAGCTAGAAGCCCAGCCCCAATACGGATGACCTTTCCAAGGCTGTATGGTCAGGGTTCCCTCTGCAGATGACACTCTACCTCCCATGTGTGCTACTGTCTTCCAAGACGACATACAGCTGGGATGGGGAGATAGGAGAGAGCCCAGACTCTCAGGTGAGGCTCCAGTTATCCTCTCCTCATTCCCTCCAAGGAGTCATGTTCAAAGTGTGATCCTGGGACTGGAGAGATGAATGAGGGCTAATGGCACTTGCTGCTCTTGCAGAGGACCCAATTCCCAGCACACACATGGTAGCTTAGAACTAACTATCTGCAAACTTCAGTTCCTGGGGATCTGATGCCCTCTTCAGACCTCCTCAGGCACAGCAACACACATATACATACACACATACATACACACACACACACACACACACACACACACACACACACACACACAGAGAGAGAGAGAGAGAGAGAGAGAGAGAGAGAGAGAGAGAGAGAGAGAGAGATGTACAAAATAAAGAAATCTTATTATTTTTTATTTAATGGCAAGGTATCAGTCCTGAGAGATGGCTTAGGGATTAAATGCACTTGTTCTTGCAGAGGACACTGGTTCAATTCCCAGCACTCACATGGTGGCTCACAACCATCCTTAACACCAGTTCCAGGGGACCTGATAGCCTCTTCTGGCCTTTGTGGACACCAGACATGCACATGGTGCACATAATACATTAAGGCAAAACACTCACACATAAAAAAAGTCTTACTCTGTAGCCCTAGTTGTTCTGGAACTCTCTATGTAGACCAGGGTGGCCTTGAACTCAGAGCTCCACCTGCCTCTGCTTCCCAAGTGCTGGAATCACAGGGAATTAGAGTCATGCACCACCATACTAGACACAATTAATAAATCTTTATTTTAGTTTTTGGTTTTGACTTTTTCAAGACAGGATCTTACTATGGAGTCCTGGCTGTCCTGGAACTTTCTCTGTCAACCAGGATAGCTTTGAACTCCCAAGTGCTGCAATTAAAACTAATAAATCTTCAAAAACAACAACAACAAAAAAAAAACCCAAAATGCCTGAACTTGTGAGGGCCTCTTGTGGTGGTACTGCGGCTGTTTCAAGATATGAAGGCCACGTCACGCTCTGAAGACAAGGTTCTGAAAGCGCTGACCAGATCCACCCTCCCATTTCCTCTTATCTGAACAGCTGGTCCCATTTCACTTTTTCCTCTTGTTACCTGTATACCTAAGTACATCTTATAAATTTCCTATTGACATGTCAACACCAATGACTGATAAATGCAAAGGAAATGGAAGTCAATACACATACAAAGTTCAAAGATTAGGCTAGGAAAGCACTGCAGACTGGTGGTGTTGCAGGACTTTCTGGTGACAATATCTGAGATCTCAGATAACACTGAACACCAAGTCACCTTGGAAACTGTCCCTCGGCATCAATGCAGCAGGAAAAAAAAATTAAGTCAGGATACCAAGCCACATTCCTCCGTCTCACAGTGTGGATCTGACAGCTTCTGCTCCAGGTCGTGGACTGAAACCCTTCAACAGCAAAAGGCCGCAAGGATGCCGAGGAAAGGGGCGGTTGTCTTGCCAAGAGACACGACAAAAAGGCTTCATGTTGGGAAGTCTAGCATAAATGATACTGGTGGGTAGAGAGGGCAGGGAGCGGGGGAGGAGAGAGGGAACGGAACAGAGGGGAGAGGGGGAGAGAGGAGGAACATTTCCCCAAAAGTTGGGGGCGGGCAGGCACTCATTAGCTAGAGTTAAAATCTTTCTCGTCTGTTTCATTAAAACACACTTCACTCTCAACAGACAGGTTCGGCAGCATGTCATGTGAGCACCAGAATTCATTTTTAGCAGATCGTAACCATCAGGGTCTATTTCATAAACAGCACTGCAAAGGTCACCAGGCCACATAACCTTAAAGTATAGGATGAAGCTGACCAAACGATCACCCAGTTCCTCAAATCCCTGCCCCAGGAAATCAGAAAGGAAGCTGCAGTCCTGATGTTAGGACATTTGGGACCTGCGGCTTTCCTCGCAGGAGACTGACTGCACAGAGCTGTTTGCCTCACACACAGAACTCTGCCCGGAGTACATGGACGCCAAGACTCAACGGCAACTGCACTAATGCACAACGGAGCAGAAGCATCTGAGCCTCCTCAAGACAAGTTTCATAGAAGGCTTAGGTGCCGGACATCCCATAATAAAGGCTCCTGGGCCACAGCAACGTCTGAAGATGACGGCAACATAGACAGTCTCTGAGCACAATTTCAACATAAATTAAAACACCAGCTATGTATATATAGGGAACTGGGCTTTAGTTAAGCTCTCTAGTGCTTTTAGATTTTTAGCAAATTTCATTTTATTAAAAAAGAGAGAATTGTCATCTACAAACTATTTTGTATCTAACTATGCAAATACAACATCAAAATACTCTGGTAAATTCCCTGATGGAGCTAACAATTTTAGGGATTTCCAACAGGACATATAATGAGGATGATCAATAGAGTTCAAATTATAGGCATTAGCTGACTATTCAGAAGAGAAAGTAAAGCTACGCATTGAAAAGGTCTGTAACTTTCAGTTTTGTGGGTTTGGGTGATTTGAATACAGTCATCAGGAGTCCAGAAGCAGCAGGATTGTGGAAACCGTGTGACTGTAATGAGGACACAGAAGCAGCTCCCAGGCAGTACTGCAAGTGTTGCTATCAGTTATATTTAAGTGACACTTTACAGATTAAAGCGGGTAAAAATCAAAATAAATCCTCCCCACCACATTTTAAAACACAATGATTTATCAACAGTTGCCATTCACAGCAATAAGAAAACAGTTGGTACAAGTTGAACACAAAGCTACCTCTCGTCTTGTAGGAAATAAACGTAGATATATAGATACATATACACATATACATTATCTTCAAAATTCAAAGTTGTTAATTTGTTTTACTATCATATAAAAACAATCTCCCTATGGTCAAATTACTGAAAAAACACAAAGGCTAAAAAAAAAAGGAAAAGCACATTTGCCACGTTTAAAAAATACACATTGTCTCAGTGGTTCTATTTATTTGATTATAAAGTTATATACTCTAAGGACTCAGACTCCTAGGACTATACTGAATCAAACAGAAGTAAATCTACCCCTTTCTCAGTCCTTGGAAAGGACACTTTGAACCCACTCACTCCAAAAAGAAATAATGTTCTGATTTTGACCTGGTAAATTGGGAAAATATGGTCACCTGGAAGCGATATATATAAAATGGAAGCCACGGGAGAAACTAAGTCAGAAAGCAGTTCTTGGGTCACAATCTGAGAGCTTTGGGTTGTAGAGAAACTCACTGGGGCACTTGGTTCAGACACAGACATGGCTTCTCCGTGATGATTCCTTACAGTGCATGGGCCTGCAGCTCATGGCCTGTATCTAGCATGTTGTCCATTTTGTAAATTAAGGTTTAACTGGGCTATAATCATGGTCATTGGTCTTATATTGTCTGTGAAGCTTCTTTGCAACAATGAGAGTTGAGTGGCTGTGACAGACAGCTGACATATTTACTCCAGTCTTTTACAAGAACAGTTTATGGAATGCCAGCTAGTGTACTAAGTGCTACCCTAATTACCTAAAAGATTTTTGCTTTGACTCCCAAGAACAACCTCAGATTTACTCAACAGCCAAATGCCTGCCTAGAAGTGGCTTTGGGCAAAAAGCCAACTTGTTTTTAGCGGATCCCTAGAAACTTCCAATGGGAAGTGGGGATAGAGAGGCAAGGGGAAATGCTGCTATGTTCTCTTAGTATTTTCATATTGGGGGCAGGGTGACACTGTCCTCCCTTTAGTCTCTGTAAGTGCTTTCCGATACGCAGTGTCCTTTGCTCCTTTTATTACACAATAAATAACCTTTAAAGCCTCTGTCGAAAACGCTTTGTTTGATGAGGTCCTGTTCAGAAATAGTTAGACTAAACATATAAATAATTACTCCATTAGAAAAGTCTGAGAGGAATCTAAATTCTGAATCTGAAGAGGGAGAAGGTGAAGAATGAATAGGAAATTAAGCTCTACAAAACACACTTTAAAAACCAGAGGTGTAAAATAGCCGCCATTTGTGAATGACAAGGTCAAGTGAAAACAGGAACATCTTTCACGTTTGCAGAAGGTTTTTCCTCCTCCTCAGCTTCTGAAGATCCTGAGTCACTAGAGTTCACAGGTATTCACATTTCAACAGTCGCTGAAACATGGAAGATAAAACACTGAGAGGAGATTTATCAAACACAAATTTATATCAAGATAAAGTTTTTTTTTCTCATAAAGCTTAAAAGTGGATTTTCCCTTTTTGTTGTTAAAAGAATGGGTAGTATGAAACTATGTGTTAGTGAGACACTTCCATTCAACCACCGCCTGACAGTTCCAAAGTGCTCTCACCATGCCACCTTAGTCCTCACAACAGCCCTGTGAGGGGGCCACAGCAGGCTGGAACCGGAAATCAAATGCTCACGCCGTCTAATACTCTTTCCAATATCACTACTGCCGCCTCAGGGGTGAGTGATGTTCTCTATCAAAATTGAAAGGCTACACTAGCTCATTAGCTCGGTGACATCACAACAGTAAAGTTAAAGGAGAAATACAAGAATAGGAGGTCTGATGACTTTACTCGACATAATAAAATCGGTGCAAAACCACTTTTGTCTACTTTCTTGTAACTTTTTGGTCCAAATACATAAAATATGCAATATTTACAGCATTTTCCTTTTTTCTTTTGTAAATGCAATGCTTTAAAACACATTATAAAGCACCATAGTAAAAATAGTCTACAGGTAAAAGTACAGAAGTAGGAAAATCCTACCCACATCACAGCTCACTGATCACAGCTCACTGATGGAGTCGCCATATGGAATCACCGATACTTCAGTGTACTGGGTTACACATAAGCCATGGAGAAACAAATACTAAACTCACCTTTTTGATATTAATATGTGGAAATCATTAAGAAAGCCTCAGATAATGTTGTCAACATTCTTAGAAATACCGCCCCAATATTCGATACTGGGGACAGGAATCAGGAATACTGCTTGAACTGTTTTGTCTTTTTATAGTATTATTCATGGTTTTAAGCTGATTTCTTTAACACTAATTATCATTCAAAAAATAAAATGAAATAAAGCCTACATAAATACGGGCAAACCCAACTACAGCAGAAATAGTTCTGAGAAAACATGATCAAACATTCCAATAAATTTTGTGAGGCACGGTTCACAAAAACAAATCAGACCCTGGCAAACAGTTATTAGCACTCTCCAGCAGAACTGTGCAACACAAACCTCCAGAAGGTGAAGTGTCAAACAGATTCATCTTCATCCAAAGAAGGTGAAGAAATGCACTATCAAAAGCAAGGGAATCAAGAACCTCTTCTGAAACGGTGTTCAGCCTTCTGACTAAACCGGCATGTGTGTATTTTAGATGATGTAAGATCCCCCTCACTGGGAGGAGATCACAACTACCACAAAAATGAAAACAAAGTAACAAAAATAACAATGCCTTAAACTTAAACTCTCCTTAGAACACTGACTCCCACTCAGCATCTGGTTCCTTGACATTCCCGTCTGTTCCTAACTCAGCCCAGTGAGAGCGGCTGACACAGTGTCAGCAAAGCAGCTGGGGAGGCTGGAGGAGGTGACAGCGGAGCCGCGCTCAGGCTCAACACTGCTTTGGCCACGCGCACTCAGTTCGACTTCGGGTAAATCTTTTCATAGAAAAAGTTCTGGGCCAGGACGTAGAGGTCCCCGTCCTTCTCCCGGACGGCGTGGGCTCTGATGAACTGGAACTGCTCCAGCGCGAACTCATAGAACTCGTTCTCCATCTTCCAGATGTCGGACTGCTGCAGCTTCGCGATGGTCTGCTTGGTGGGCAGTTTCTTCTCTGTGGTTTTCCTCAGGTGGGATTTCTTTCCTACTTACAATGGAAAGACAAGAAAAGGAAATAATTCTTACAGACACACACAGACAACGCCTCTTCACTTGAAAAAATGGCTTATGTTACTATGACGCGGCAAGTAACACACTGCCTTCTGACATTAATACAACCCAGCAAAACCCAGAAACTCAACATTGGCAGAGGCTCACTCCGTTAGAAGATAAATGCTTGAAAGATGCAATGAATGCTCGCACAGTAAACGTAAGGGTCAACACTCAGTAAGGGGAGGCCGTCCCTCGCACACTGCTCTAAGGCCCATTTCCTTCTTTTTCAACTGAAAACAAACAAAACAAAACACCAGTGTGTGTGAGTGTGCATGCGGAGGTCAGAGGACAACCTCCTGGCCTCGGTCGTCCGCTCCATCACAGGTTCTGGGGATCTGGGCATCGAACTCAGGTCATTAGGTTCATGCAGCAAGTGTTTTCACCTTGTAGAGAGCCATCTTGCTAGCCCTTGTTCATTAAAAAAAAACATGACAAAACACGTGTCACCAAACTTAATTCTAATTTCCCACCAGCTATACTCGCTACAATCGCGGAGAGCTGAGGGAGGGCAGGTGCAAACTCTACGAAGGTTTGAGTGATGGCATGCTACTACACAACTAAAAGGAAAAACTACCAGTATTTGACTGACTCCCAAAGGTCTGGAAGTATACTTTTAGATAAACGAGACACAGCACAGCTGCGCGTGTGCTCAGCACTCGCACCCGACCCTCCTCTAGAACTGTAGTCTAGTTTATTACAGAGTCAACTTGTAAACAAACAGGTTAGGACAGCTTTGGAGAGAAACCTATCATGTACATACCTGTACGATAGAGGTCTGTGGCACCCCGGAAAAAGCGGGGCAGGGCTGCCTCCAGTAACATGATGAAGTCTTCCAGCTCTTCAGTCACTCCCACCAGGAAGTACTCATTAACTAGGTTATACTTAGCTTGATCCATAGCCCATCTGCTTCCCACATTCCTGAAACCACAGACAAGGAATTCAAAACTCGGCTGTGAAATGGTGAAATGGACTGAATGTTCTCATGCTTCTGATCCTCCAGGTTATGGAGGAAACAGGTAGGTGAACACACACAGCCACAGCTTCAACACCCATCACAGTGGCATCCTCCTTTGCTTCCACACCCAATCCGCGCCCTCGTAGTTACTCAGGCTCTCCTAAAGGGTTCCTAATAAGAGCCAACTTTAAGGACAGTTTTAAATATAGACATTTGTAGCATATATTCTCTTTTTTTACTTAGTGTGCATTCATGTTTTAAAACTATTCTCAAACTTTGTTCATTCTGAGAGCCCCTATGGTAAAGTCGAAGCAATCTGTGTTTAGTGTCTATCTTAATTTGTAAACTCTGTTTCTTTTCTTTCTATAAGCTTTAGTGTTTCCTGAAATCCCGAGAACCAGAAATAGGTAAGAGACAGCTCTACTAAAACTCCTTTTGTTTACAGTGTCAGCTAATGCGTTAACAGGTTTCATCCTACACAGACAATACTTCTGGGAACTAATTAGCACCACGTTCTCTCCGCTTCGCTCCAGCTCTGCATTTTAAGTGCCAATGTGACCCTGCCGTGGTGGCTGCACTTCTTTTTGTTTCCTCAACTATTAAAGTCAAAACCACAAACCAAGAAACTGGGTGTGTAGTATATACCTGTTATCCTGGCACTTGGGAGGGAGACAGGAGGGTCAAGAGTTCAAGGCCAGCCTGTGCTACAAGAGTCTTATCCCTAAAAAACCTAAGTGGGAGGGGCTGACAAAGTGGATTAGTTGATTTCTAAGGTCTCCCAATATACTTCATTGTGTATGAAATAAATGAACTATCCTCTCTAATTAAAACTCAACTAAGCAGTACTTTTTATTATTTAAAAGCAGGGCCTGGCAAGCTTTTTATGTAAGAGGCAGAGAGTAAATATTTTAGGCTTTGCAGGCTATACGATTTAAATCACAATTATTCAACTCTGCTATCTCAGCAGACAGTAAATGCACCAACATTAGTAGTTGTGTTCTAATAAAGCTTTATTTACAAAGAACAAGTGCTCAGCCATATTTGGGGCATAGGAGTGGGTTCCTTTTCAGAAGCAATGGCTAAAACCTTAAAGGATACTCTTCTAGTGCTTCCAATTCTCTTATTACAATGATGCTTTGAAGCAGTCTACAAGCAGGACCTTGAACTTTATGTCAATCTATACAGCTCAAATAATTAAGAAATCCTTTGAATTTCCCAGTATAATTTAAGAAAATACTAATTTTCAATGGATTTTCTGTTGCTGCATTTTCTATCAAAACGATTGTATAACCAGATATGACAGCATCTAATTGTATTCCCAGCACTGGAGAACCAGATATAGGAGAGGCTCAAGTTAAGGCTAGCTGAAGAGCTGGGTATGCAGCCCAGTGACCCAGTACTTGCCCAGTGTGTGCAAAGGCCCAAATCTGATTGTAGTGGGTACCTGTTCCACCTAGGACCTTGAGATACCAGACCCTGGAACATAGCCTCTGGGCTAGCTTAAGAGCTGAGGGACACATACACAGGCCCCTTCTCTTCTCTCCTTCATGGGCTTGGACAGTGAGGACTGACTCAGGTGGCAAAAGCAGCGTGGGACTGACCATCAGCCTTCCAGAACTCTGCAACAGATTTGCCTTACCCTGTTTAGTGAGTTGTTCTCCTCAATATATATATTTAAGAAATAGTTTCTTTACCAGTATCTGTGGATTATCTGCAATATCTGGCACACAACGTGGGGCACGAATTCACCACCCTGGGATTAAGGGTCCCATGCTCTAACAAATGACCTTGCCAGGCAATGGACCCAGGGCCTTGTGTGGGGACTGCGTATGTGCCCCTTAGGTCTTATGATAGCTCAGAGGCCACGGCCTAGGGGCTGGTACCTCAAGGTCAGAGGTGGAACAAGTGCTCACTACATCTGATCCTTAGCACCTCAAAATAAATGGTTGACTAGAAGAAGAAAATATGTACAATTATTTAAAAAACTTGAACACAGAACATTCTGAGGAAGTTTTTTTTTTTTTTTTGGGACGCGAATCTGAGGAAGTTTTTTATTAGAAGTAAAATCTCTTTTGTACTTCATGTTTATTAGCAGACTAAATTATAACTCTATAAGAATATTGTTGGATACTCTTAAACTCAAAATAAGTTTAACAATAAAACCAGGTAGTACTTTGCCCACTAACTAGCTTTATTTGATCTACTTGAAGCAGAAAGCTTAAGATAAAATAAGGTTTATGGAATGACCTCTGACCTCTAAGGTCTCTGCTGGAATACAGTAAAACAGAATGCCAAAACCAAAATAATAACTGCATTTGATAAAACACACTGTGAGGATATGTACACAACTTTTAAGAACATTTAAAGGAAAAAATAGATCTAGATGTATGTGCAGCACAGTCTCTCATAGTTCTCTACCTGGTCCTGACTACTACATCCTTCCTCATGAGACATGGGTTATAGAGATATTGAAGATGACCAGTGTAGTTAAGTTTATTTTCCTACCAGCATTCTGAGCTGTGGCCACAGAAGAATGGGATCTGAAGCCAGAGCTTCTCCGGAGCACAGTCTGAGCCACCCTCAGCCACACACTCATCGAAGGTCTGCAGCAAAGAGAAAAAGAGCAGTCAGTCATAAACCCAAGTCTCAAGTTAAAAGACAGGTTCTTAGTCTCTGTTATGTCTGTGTGTTTGTGAGTGTAGGTGTGCACATGCCATGGCATTGTATGAAGGTGAGGACAACCCTGGGTGTCAGTCCTTACCTTATGTCTTGTTTGACAGGGTCTTTTGTTGACTGCTGAGAGTGCCAGGCTACCTGACCCACAAGATTTCAGGAAGTCTTCAGTTCCCATCTCACCACGGGACACTGCGAGTACAGCCGTGCACCACTGTGCCCAGCTTCACATATGTGCTAGGGAGCCAGACTCAGGTCTTCACACGGCATGGCAAGTACTTTACCCTCTGACTCATCTCTCCAGCTCGCAGACTTCTAATGTAACAAGTTACGAAGTAAATGGGTACAAGTAGGTGGGCTAAGTGAGGGCTGGACAGTTGGTTCAGTGGTTCAGAGCAGAGGACCCGGGTTCAGTTCCCATCACCCACATGATGGCTTACAACCATCCATACATCCTGTTACAGCTGTCACTTCCGATGTCTAGTGAAAAACACCAATAAGGTCACACTCATTGTCCTGCCTTTCAGGAGTGCTTCCTGGTGTGCTCTCAACACACTAGTCCTGCACATTGTTCACTTGGAGCATCCACCCATACCACATTATTCTGCTCCACAGGTTCTTAACTGTATTATGGTACCCCAAATCTCTGTAACTGTACTGGAATGTTCTTCCTCCTAGATTGATTCCACCAGTGAAGGTCACATGAGGTCCAGCCTTCCAATTATTCTTCTGGCTGAATATCATTTGCTCCCTTTTCAGTTCTGTATGTTGCCTTGTTATAACTATCTCTGAAGAAGGGGCACACTCATCTGCATGTGTCACCTTTATCTCCATAAGAAGCTTCATGTAGTTTTTATATGACATTCTTCTCTTCAACTGTGGTGAAGCTTGAGAAGGTCATGCCACGTGCAAATGCATTTCAGAACACACTGTAGTTGGCAGAGTTACCATGTGTACAGTGTTGTTGCAAAAACTGTGACTGGGGATGACAGAAGTACTACACACAAAGCGCTGGTGAACACAGAGACATTTTTTCATGACAAAGGTGAGACAGCCCTTCAGCATTTCCCTGAGTTTTCTTAATGTGTGTGCTATGTGTGTAAGTGGAAAACCTTGGCCTTGGCCATTACATTACTTAGCATTTCCCTAGATGGACTGCATGAGGGTGTGGATGATAATGGACTAAACCTCTATAAGCCAGCCTCAACTAAATGCTTTTCTTTATAAGAGTTGCTGTGGGGGCTGGAGAGATGGCTCAGAGGTTAAGAGAACTGGCTGCTCTTCCAGAGGTCCTGAGTTCAATTCCCAGCAACCACATGGTGGCTCACAACCATCTGTAATGCAATCTGGTGCCCTCTTCTGGTGTGTAGGCATAGATGCGGGCAGAACAGTGTATACATAATAAATAATTAAATCTTTAAAAAAAAAAAAAGAGTTGCTGTGACCATAGTATCTCTTCACAGCAACAGAAACACTAACTAAGACAGAAGCTGGTACCAGGGATTGCTAAGGTACTGGGGTGTCCCTGTGATAGGCCTGACTATGCTTTTGTTTGGAGGAATGTGGACTTTGGGACTTGGGATTGGAAAAGCAGTTGAATGCTTTAAGTGCTGCTTAATGGGCCATTCTAGTAAGAGCAGTGGAGGACAAGTGGTGCTGAGAGTGATTTGAACTGTTGGGGGCTGGCTTAAGAGGTTTCAGCGGAAAAAAATATTAATGTTGTAGCCTAGAGATTGTCGTGATATTTTGGTAAAGAATGTGGCTGCTTTTTGCCCTTTTCCAAAAGTGTCTGCCTGAGGCTAAATTGAAGAGTTTTGGGTTAATTGCATTGGCAGAGGAAATCTCAAAACAGCTTAGTATTGACTTTGTTGTGTGGTTATTAGTGTTTACTCTTAGGAAGATTTATAATGAAAAGGAGCAAGCTGAGCAAGAGAAAATACAAAATGTACAATTTGAGGAGAAAGGGGGTACCAGGAAGTACAATGGAGCTAAATCCTGTGTTTAAGGAGATAAACAGATTTAAGAAATGGAAAAAGGGAGTGGTGATCTCAGGGCAAGATCTCACCCAGCTAAGTTTCCAACTTATGAAAAAGAATTAAAGAAAAGCTTAGAGCCAGGTGTGGTGGTATATGCCTTTAATCCCAGCACTCAGAAGGCAGACGGATTTCTGAGTTTGAGGCCAGCCTGGTCTACAGAGCTAGTTCCAGGACAGCCAAATTTAGGCAGTAAAGGAAACTGTAGAAAACAGAAAGCTAGTGGTAACTGAACAAGGGGGCCATGTTTCAGCCCCAACAAGCAGCAGAACTTGGCCGCTTCAGCCACATGGTTCTGGCATTAGAGTTGAGGGTAGAAGAAAGGGGTTATGGAATCTCCCTCCATGACTAAGGAAAGTCGCTGAGGCCACAAACGTGTCAGAGGTGTCCCTGCATGGAGGAGGGGCTATGGAATCTCCCTCCATGACTAAGGAAAGCTACTGAGGCCACACATGTGTCAGGGGTGTCCCTGCATGGAGGCCTACAAAGGCTATTGTGTGAAGCTGTGAAGGTGAAGCCTGGATTGCCTAGGAGAACCCAAGATGTTGGAGATGCCAGAGCCGTGGGATACCTGCCAAGGAGAGCTGCTAACAGGGAGTGGAACCAGTCCAAGAAGAAATGTGTTGCAGTCAACAAAGCTGAAAGGAGTTAAGATCTGAAGAGTATTTTGACATCAGGAATGGAGATGCAGAGTCTGGAGTTTGCCTACCTCATTTTCAGTCTTGCTTTGGCTCAGTATTTGGTCCTTACTATCCTCCCTTTCCTCCACTTTGGAACGGTAATATATATCCTGTGCCATTATATGTTGGAAATTGCTGTGGGATGGTCTGTATGTCAAATGTGTTGCTGATTGGTCAATGAATAAATCACTGATTGGCAGTGGCCAGGCAGGAAGTATAGGCGGGACTAACAGAGAGGAAAATTGAGAGAACAGAAAGCTGGTGAGAGGGACACTGCCAGCCGCCATCAGGATAAGGAAGATGTAAAGTACCGGTAAGCCACAAGCCACGTGGCAAGGTATAGATTAATAGAAATGGATTAATTTAAGCTGTAAGAACAGTTAGCAAGAAGCCTGCCACGGCCATACAGTTTGAAACCAATATAAGTGTCTGTGTTTACTTGATCGGGTTTGAGCGGCTTGGGACTGGCGGGTGAGAGAGATTTGTCCTGACTGTGGGCCAGGCAGAAAAACTCTAGCAACAAATGGCGTCCAACGTGGTGGCAAGAGTTTCCACCTAAAACCTGAGAAAAAAGATTCTAAAACGGAGCTAAAAACAGCTTCCTAATTGTCTCTCTCAAATGAGCGGCAGCTGCCGGTTTGAGCTACTTGTGGGTTCCTAGCGTGCGCGCTCGACCTGCAGTATGGCGGGAATGAGGCCTCTGCAAGTGGCACATTAAGCTACATTGTGGATTTAGCCTTTGCTAGTACAAAACAAAAAAAGAGGTTTCTGGGCTACATGCTGCTTGGATAAAAGCATAGACCCACGATAGCTCCCAGAGCTGGCGGTAAGCATACTGCCGCCATGTTGGGAAGGTGAGGTGGGCGGAGCCAGCAGCCACAGCGGCTGCAGCTTAAAGCAATAGATTCACAATAAGACAGATTCAGATGTAATAGTTTAAAATGTGTGTAAAATATACGTAGGCTTAAAAGAGACAAAAAAAGGTGATATATACAGTATAGAAACAAATACATGGTTTTAAAAAATAAAGTCTTTAAAGAGACAGTAAAATTAATATAAAAAATAAGCCACGTAGAGATGACTATTACACAGAGAGTCTGGATTGTGTTGTCTTTGGGATTCTTAACTACAGAGAGATATTTGATTGTAAAGGAAGCTGAGTTAAACCAGTACATATATTTTAAAGATACTTTGACTTCAAAATTTGGATGTAAGGATATGTTGCTTTGGAAAAGAGTCTCTTTTGTTTCCACAGAAAGCAAGAGGCTATGGATTTGTTCCAGAGTAAGATACATCAGGTTTGACCAGCCAAGACCCCCTGAAAGGTCTCTGATGACACCATGGCCCAGATGATCCAACATCCAGAACCGTTTCAAGACAACTGGCTCAGATGATACAGCCTCACGGACTACTCCATGATCCTAAAATTTTCTTTGTTTCCCCAGAAGATACAGCGCCCCCCTCCAGCAGGAAGTAGTAAGAGAAGCTACGCCCAAATTCCCAAATATACCAAGCTGACTTTGGAGATGTGTAAAGGTTAAAACCTTCCTTTTTAAGAAAAGAAAAGGGGAGGTGCTGTGGGATGGTCTGTATGTCAAATGTGTTGCTGATTGGTCAATGAATAAATCACTGATTGGCAGTGGCCAGGCAGGAAGTATAGGCGGGACTAACAGAGAGGAAAATTGAGAGAACAGAAAGCTGGTGAGAGGGACACTGCCAGCCGCCATCAGGATAAGGAAGATGTAAAGTACCGGTAAGCCACAAGCCACGTGGCAAGGTATAGATTAATAGAAATGGATTAATTTAAGCTGTAAGAACAGTTAGCAAGAAGCCTGCCACGGCCATACAGTTTGAAACCAATATAAGTCTCTGTGTTTATTTGATCGGGTTTGAGCGGCTTGGGACTGGCGGGTGAGAGAGATTTGCCCTGACTGTGGGCCAGGCAGGAAAATTCTAGCAACAGGAAATAAGTGATCTGTTTTTTTATTTTGATTTTATAGGGCACTACAGTTAAGAGAGTGCATGAGTCTCAGAAAAGACTTTGACCTTTTAAAAAAGTTTGAGACTGTTATAGACTATGGAGATTTTTGAAGGTAGACTACATGCATTTTGCACTATGTCATGGCTACAAGCCTATGGGGGCCAGGAAGTGGAATGTGGTGGTTTAAATAGGTTTGGCCTCCATAAACTCATGTGTTTGAATGCTTGGCCCATAGGGAGTAGCACTATTAGGACACATGGCCTTGTTGGAGTAGTTGTGACCTTGTTGGGGAAGTGTGGCACTGTGGAGGTGGGTTTTGAGGTCTCAGAAGCTCAAGCCAGTTCACTTCCTGATGCCTGCTGATCCTGAGGTAGAACATGGTCCTTCTCCAGCACCATGTCTGCCTGTGTGCCATCGTACTTCCCACCATGACAGTAATGGACTAAATGTCTCAAATTGTAAGGAACCCTCAATTAAATGTTTTCCTTTATAAGAGTTTCCATGGTCATGGTGTCTCTTCACAGCTATAGAAACCCTAACTAAGACAGTGAGGTTTCTGGGTTTTTTTGGTTTTTTTTTTTTTTTTTAAAGACAGGATCTCACTGTGTAGATCAGGCTGCCTTGAGTTCACAGAGATCTTCCTGCTTCTGCCTCCCAAGTGTTGGGATTAAAGGTGTGTTTAAATTAGGTTGGCCTGTGGCTATTCTTATGGAGGATTCTCTCTGTTGCATAACTGAGGTAAGAAGACTTGCTCACTGTACTGGAAGGGAGGGGACAGGTACATGGGAGGGTCTGGAGGAGGAAAGGGAAAGGGGAAAATATTATTTACTGGAAATGAAGAAAGTGAGCTGAAAACAACTATGAATGCATTGGTAAAGTAACCATTCTCTGCAGCTGACCAGACACTACGAGTAGCTGCTCCAGGTTCCTGCTCTCCTGACCCCCTGGAATGACAGCCTCGAGTCTGGAACTGTGAGTCAAGTAAATCCTTTCCCCCTTAAGTTGCTTTCATCAGGGGCTTTTGTGACAGCAACAGGACAAAAAACCAAGACAGTATGATTTAGATTTCCTGCCCGAAGCCTACTTCTAAAAGCTAGCAAGCACGCTATGTCTCCAGTTATCTCTATCAGACCCCGTTTTCACGAAGACTATGGCTCAAGGAACTAGATGCAGCAGTTCATAGTTTCTGATTCCGTACCTATTTCTGGCAGGTCCTGACTCACAGCATGTTCCCTATAGCTCAGCAGAAGGACTCTGCGTCTTCATGCCTCTACCAGACTAGAGTACAAGCCAGAAGACAAGAAAGTGACTAAATAAACTCAACATCTCCACTACTATCCAATGTGTGCACATGACTGTGTGTGTGTGAAATTCAAAGACATAAAAATGGTTGGCTTAAATATAAGAAAGTAGCACGTTGGGAGACTGTAATATTAAAAGATTCCATAAATTTACTATGTATACAGTGTGGACGATATGCAGACAACTCTGGGGATTTCATGCATACTATCTGAACTAAAACTGAATAATCATACCGGATGGCTATTTTAGCTCAATTCTTTAATTAGCAAACTCCTGGTTCCTGTGTTCAAGTATTTTAGTCTTCTAGGCAAAGAAAATTTAGATCTTCAGATCTGTTTTTAGGCAGTACTTTTAAATTTGCTACCTGACTCAGGCAGACTAAAGTTACCTCCCAAACCAAATCTTCCATAGGTCAGAGTTAGCCTCTCTTGCAGGGGACACTGTGGCCATACAGTCACGGACTTTCTAGTGGACTGAAGGCAGAACAAACGTGGGCAGCTTTTGGGTCATCGCTTAGACGGAAACAGCTTGCTTTCCCTTCCCGTTTCCCAATGTGGGGAGGTGGCCCAGCGGTGGCCCAAGGACTGGCCCCACTCAGCAGCAACATGCTCTGTGGTCTGCTGAGGCTGCACTCCCATACTTGGTTGTATTTCCTTAAACAAGTCAACTGTGTCACTTGAAAGGAAATAACCGAGTGTCCGTCAGTGTGGTCCCTGCCTGAAAGCTGCTCTGCTCTCGGGTGGCATCAGGCATGCTCAAAGACAGGGTGAGCTCTTTATCTTAGGTATGGAAGATGCTACTAAGTAGCGACCACAATCCTTTTCAACAGCCCCCATCTACAGAAGTGCACGGGATAAATGGCTATCTCCAGACAGGAACAGTGCAGCTGCAGAGGATTCTACAGTAGCCCGTGGTAAAAGTTAAACTTCCAAGTGAGAAAGAACATTTTGGAAACCCTAACTAAGACAGCATAAGCCTACAGTTTACCAGCACCTACAAGCTGTTGCTGATGATGTCTGTAGTTGGGTTAATGAATATGAATTTTCGATACTGTATAATCAAAATGCATTAACCCTTGGGAGTCCAATGTAACACTGTATGAAACACTGTATGTATGCAGGATGCCTGAAAACTTCCTCACTAAAAGGCCAATTTCATACACAACGTCAAACGTATCAGTGGATTTTAATCTGTAAAAAGTTCACTGTGGCTTCACATTCTACACTTGGAACGTCCACTTGTCAAATTCAGTGTTGTATTAAAAAACAGCTTCAATTTTGGGAAGGGTTATTAAAATTCTCTTTTCTAATTACATATTTGCATAAACCTGGATTTTCTTTATAGATTTCAACCAAAAAAAAGTACAACTGATTAGACTGAATTAAAAAATATGAAAATCAGGCTATCTTTATTAAACTAGATATTAAAAGATTTTCTGAAATGTAAAATGATGCCACTCTCTGTTTTCTTAAGAAAGATGATTATTTACACCAAAACATTATTTGTTAACATGAGACAGTTTTCTAAAATTCATATTTGAAGAAGTTTTCCGGCGAGTGAGATGGTTCAGCAGGTGGAGGTGCTTGCCTCTAGACCAATGACCTAATTTGATCCCTGAACCCACACTGTGAAAGGAGAGAGCCAACTTCCAAAGTTGTTCTGTGGCATGTGCCCTGTGGCACCCCCCCCCCCCCCCGAAAATAAACAGGGAAAATAAAACAAGCTAAAATTTTCTATGTAAACTATGAAATTTACTTATACTGGTGAATATCAACAGACAACTACATAAAAGTTTTCTGGGGTCCTTACTTTTCTTTCAGATTTGTATATGTGTATGTGTGTGCTTACTCACTCGTGTGTGTGTGTGTGTGTGTGTGTGTACCGACTCACACACGCACATTGCACACACATGCACGTTTGCTACTGCCATAAGAAAGCATCAGATCCCCTAGAGTTGAAGCTACAGACAGCTGTGAGCTGCACAGCACAGGTTCTGGAACCATGAGGGCAGGAAGTGTTCTTAACACCCAGCCATCTCTCCAGCCCTGGGGACCTGGGAAGGAGTGTGACTGTCTGGAGCATCAGAGACAAGTCCACAGCAGAGGTGATGACAAAGTGTGGTCTTAAATGTAAGCAAAGGGCTTTTTAAGGAGAAGGAAAAGCACTCTAAATATGAGGGACAACAGGTGTGCAAAAAGTATGAAGCAATAATGAGTTTCAAGGGCATTTGTATTTCGTGTGACTGAAACGCTGAGCTGGCACACGGGGTAACTAAGCTACAGAGGCAGGTGGGTATAAGATTGTATTAGATTGTGTCTCCTAAGCCTTAGGTAAACAATCTACATTTTTTTTTTAGTGCGTGTGTGTGTGTGTGTGTGTGTGTGCGCGCGCGCGCGCGCGTACCACAGTGAGAAGCCAGTCCTGTCCTTCTGCCATGTGCGTCTCAGAAACTGAGCTCAGGTTGTGAGGCCTGGCAGCAAGCACCTTCGTTGACTAAGTCATCTCTCTGGCCTACCGTGGGGAATGTTTGAGCATGAAACCTATAAAGGTGTTCCACTGAAAAAGGAACAAGTCCAGTGTGGTTCTGAGAACCCGAGTCTGGTGACATGTCAGAGGAAGTGCTACAGGCAAGCGAAGTCTGACCCCACACACTTGCTTTACCCATTACTCTCTCCTTGCTTAAAGTTAGCAAAACAGTTTTCATAAACTGATGATTACAAGTAAATGTAGATTGCCATCTACGGTAATTTGAATTTAATTGGCCCCCATAACCTCATAGGAAGTGGCACTAGCAGGAGATGTGGCTTTGTTGAGTGGGTATGGCCTTGTTGGAGGAAGTGTGTCACTGTGGGGGCAGGCTTTGAGGTCTCCTATGTTCAGGACACCATCCAGTGTCTCAGTCGACTTCCTGTTGCTTACAAGATGTAGCAGTCTCAGCTCGAGCAGCATGTCTGGCTGCACGCTCCCTGTCATGATGATAATGGACTGAACCTCTGAGACTGTAAGCAACCCCCCCAATTAAATATTTTCTTTATAAGAGTTGTCATGGTCATGATGTCTCTTTACACCAATAGAAACCCTAAGGCACCATCATTAAGACTAAGAACCAAAATATATACAAAAACAGACTCATCAATAATGATCCCTAGAAAAATTGTTGGCAGGTGTAATGGTTAATACTGATTGTCAAGTTAACTTAGAATCACCCTGGAGACAAAGTTTGGCTTTATTTGTGGAAGGCATTTCCAGAGAAGTATAACTGAACATGTGTGTGTGTGCATGCTGAGTACGGCTGCCCCTCTCTCCTGCCACCATGCCTCCCCACCCTGATGGACAGCTCCAAACCATGAACTGAAATAAACCATGTATTTTGACAGAGTAGCAAGAATAGTAACTACTACAGCAGGGCTATAATAAAACAATGTGCACTTGCCACAGTTCACAGTCACAGAAGTATCTTATAAGACAGCAGCTGTGGCCCACTTCCCCACAGCTTCTCTACAGTCCTGAGTTCCTTGCAAAATGTCAACACTGATCAAGGAGTACAATTATGACCAACAGCAAGCATGTTACCTTTTTGTCTCCTTGTTTCCGTCTCCTTAATCCTGGTCTGTAATCATCTCCAAACCTCAGAAAGTAATAGTAGGAAACTAGCCTCTCGATAGGGTCCCTGATGACATTAATATAAATCGGCTTCTTCTTCACACCGAATCTGAAACAGCAGAATTCCAGTGATGAGGTCAGCATTCTCATTAGTTCAGGCATGCCCTGAAATTATATACAGAGTCTGAAGCATTGGTGGGATATGGAAGCAATAAAATGAATTAATTAAAATGAAATTGAGTATGTGAAGACTGGGAAATATTCATATTTAGGATGAATAAAGCAAACAAAAAATAATTCAAGAAATGATGGAGAATACCTACCTATGCCCTCAAGGAGTAAGGAGGCAGTCTGTAGAGGCCCTGGAGGTGTGGATCTGACAGGCCCTGTCCACTCACTCTATGCCTCAATGGCTCTGCTCACTGAGGAGTTTAAGCAGCCACACAGTCTGTGTTTAGAAGACTGCACAGTGAGGTTCTGAGACCAGATCCTAGAGGCATGAACTGGCTTTCTTAACCCTTGGAGCTGATCAGCAGTATCTCTTCTAGGCACACTGTGTGGCACACAGACACTGACACATGTCCCAGCCCATCACTGGGCAGCCACGTTTGCTGGGCCTGATCTATACAGGTCTAACAGGGTGATCCTTCTACCATGTAATCTGTGGAAACTGACAAGTATCCTATCCTGAAGCTGCATGTACTATACCCAGATTACCAGAGTACCTGCACCAGCTTTCTTAAGAAAACTGCATTCTATCTGCTAGTACCATCTCACAACCTCTGCAGGACACACAGGGCAACGTATGTTGATTAGCTCAAATAGTAATATCAACACTACACTTAGAATCTACCTAGAACCAAACAAACAGCCTATGAGACACACACCTTAGGACTGTGGTGGTATTTTACTTGTACTGAAATGTGATTTTAATTGTATGTTAATAAATAAAGTTGCCCAGGGGTCAGAGCTATTAGAGCCATAGCAAGAGCGTGGCGGTGGTGGCGCACGCCTTTAATCCCAGCACTTGGTAGACAGAGCTAGGTAGATCTCTGTGTGTAAAAAGATACAGTCAGCATTGGAGACACACGCCTTTAATCTCAATACCAACCATAGAAGACCTGGAAGTCTCTACAGAGGCAGTCATGTGTTTGGGTTTACAACCAATGAGAAGGCAGAACAGCTAGACTATATAAAGACATACACACAGGAAGTAGGCCCTTTTTTCGGAGAGCTCTCTTGGCTGAAGCAGGAAGGGTAAGGCTCTTAGCTCTGACCTCTTGGCTTTCTTCTCTGAATCGGCTCTGTGTTTCTTATTTAATAAGATGGTTGGTTACATATACATAGGACACACTGCCAGGAAACTGTCTTAACCTGCAAACGGTGGAGGGGACTGACCTCTCTAGTACCCAGCTCATCTCCTTTACCAGCAGCTGACAGTAAGACTCCAGCTGGTTTCTTTGTGTCCATTTGGTCTGCCTCAAACATCAGTTCTCAACTGGTTCTCCTAAAACACCATTTGTTAGCTCACCTGCTCTTTACAACCTGAACTAAACTTCACAGACAGCTGAAATCAAACTGAAACTTCTGGGATTTGAGGTACAGCTTGACTAGCATGTTCAGGGCCCCAGGATGCATCCCTAGCACCTCAAAAGTAACAATGGCGACAACCTCATCCTACCTCCTTGGTTATCTGATGCTGGTCCTTTTACATCTTAGGTGCCACCTTACTGTTTTCCTCAATTCTACTCAAGGTAGAAACTATCTTCTGGTAACAATCAGACCTGCCTTCCCACTACATCACATAAACCACACTAGTCAACCTTATCTATGATGCTATTCTTGTTGTCATCCCCCCACAACACCCCCTCCATTTTTTTGTGTACCAAATATATGCCGGGCAGCAGTCTGGACTGTACACATACCGCAGTGGGGGAGGGGGAGGGCAGAAAAAAGAACAGGAAAGAGGAGAGGAGACTTGTTTTTCCAGAGCTAACATTATACTGGGGACAGAGAACAGTATGTATCACTGAGCTCAGATGGTAAAATACTGAGAACAGTACTTCAGGGAAAGGAAAAGAGGATGCCAGGCAGGTGACAGAGAACACAGATAACACCATTTTCTACCAACTCATCACTGATGTCATACACAAAAGGGACACATACAGTTATATGGGGAAAAGCATTCTGGGAAGACGGAACCTCAGAGGATGAAGGTCTTGAAGCTTCTAGGGTCAGATGTTTGGAGACACAGGAAGAATGTGGCTCCAGCATCAAAGAGAGTAAAAGAAGATAAGAGTATAGAGGTCGGGAGGCTTCGGGGAGCGCAGGCATGTGGCCTTGCAGAAGACTCTGTGCATTCATTTCTATGAGTCATGTGGGAGGGCCATTGGAGGATTTCAGTAGAGAAGTGCAATGACTCATCTTTTCAAAGGCAAGTAGCTACTGTTTTGGAATGAAGAGGGGCTGTGACACACTCTTGTGTCCCCAGTAACCATGGCATACTGTACTATCTGCCTTCATCAGATACTTGGGTACCCACGAGCTATTGGGCTGAGGTAAAGTCAACTCTGAGCCTGTCTTACTAACAGTCATCTCAGCTGCATGGGGTCTGAGGATGCATAAACCAGCAAGGTTTAAAGAGGAAAACAGTGATGCTGCAAACATATAGCAAGCACCAAAGGAACTAGCAGAGGCTAACAAGAGGCTGTAGCTGCTTCTCTTCTGTCTGGGGCTTCATCACAAGGGCAGGAGGACCAGCCAAGCACACAAGCGCTAGGTATTAATTAGCTAGGGTGGATGGACTGCGGAAGCTAACCACTTACACTGCTCTATGGGAGAGAGCACTCATCAGCGAGGCACTGGGAAAGCACACATACCACTTCAGCTTAAAGAGACAGACAATAGAAGCTTCAAGGAGGGGAAAACTCGAGGCACTGGGGGTTCACTGGAAACGCCTATACTTTCCATCAGCTGCTGTCCCCACTGTGAGCCAGGCCCTTACTGCTCCCCAGGACCTCTCTCCAGAATGTTTCCACTTCTCCTGTCTCCACAGTCCTGGACACATGGACCCGGGGCGCAGCAAACAGTATCTGGCACAGTACAAACCTTTGCCGGCACCTAGCCTACAGCTGTCTGAAGACACTTTGGGTGGCATTTACTATGTACGAAGCACAGTTTTAATGAGATAATCTGTGGACTCATTCTGAAAATAGAAATGAACTGTTAGTTGTAACTGCAGAAGGGTTATACAGGCATAAAGGGCTGGAGGCAAGGGAGTAGAACAGAAAACGGGCATGGTAAGAATGGCACTCGGGCCCCACATCACAGCTGGTTAAGAGACAAAGCTAACAAGGTTTGTTGGTTTAACTTCTGCCAACCTTGTAACTTATAATGGGAGAAAACCAAGTTCTGTAGTTGAAGAGTTCCTGTAATCCTGGCCATTCGTATGGGAAGACCTGGGTGGAAGACAATCTATTTCTGTTCAAGGAAACTAAACTACCGGCTGGTGAGAACGATCTTCCTGGGAAAAGAGGAGCCGAGGAATATTTTATAGCACATTCATGTTTCCATCTATCTACCCACCAGCAGGCTTGTTAACAGATACTTTAGAAGTCTATGCCTCGTCAGCATATGCAGTGCACAAAGGGAACAAACACTAGAATTCTTGCTTTTTTTTCTTTTCTTTTCTTTTTTTTTTCAAGACAGGTTTCTCTGTGTAGTTTTGGTGCCTGTCCTGGATCTCACTCTGTAGACCAGGCTGGCCTTGAACTCACGGAGATCTGCCTGGCTCTGCCTCCCAAGGGCTGGGATTAAAGGCGTGCACCACCACCGCCCAGCCTAGAATTATTTCTTTACAACTACATTCACATAGCCTGGGTAGAATAACCCAGAACTGCTTGCAGAGCAAAGGCATATGCGAGGCATTTGTAAGGAGCTTGATCTACCGGTCAAAGTCTAAAAGAGGGACAATGAAACTATGCAGAGAGCAGACAGCCTTTGGGAAAAGCTACACTTTGAGACTTCTGCAACATATTATATTTCCCATTTCTATTTAAGCACCAATTAAAAAACATTATTGTTGCTGCTGTGTGTGCCTGTGCACTATAGTGTGGGTCTGTGTCCATCTGTCCATGTGTATGTGTGTTTGTTTATATGTGACCCTGTGCCCGTGTGTTGAGGTCAGAGATAGTTTGCAGGAGAAGCTTCTCTCCTTTATCACGTGGGTGGTTCCCAGGGGTCAAGCTCAGGTCATCAGGCTTGGTGACATATGCCTTTACCCGCTGAGCAATCTTACCAGCCTGTTGTGGAATATTTGTTTAACTACGCAAAGATGTGTGGCATTTGTTTAATTATGTGGAGATGTGTTGCTGTTTTACCTTGCCTCGCTTGCTGTGGGATGTTCTGTATGGCAAATGTGTTGCTGATTGGTCAATAAATAAAACACTGATTGGCCATTGGCTAGGCAGGAAGTGTAGGCGGGACAAGGAGGAGAGTAAAGCTGGGAAGTGGAAGGCTGAGTCAGAGAGACAAACAGCATGTGAAGATGCCGGTAAGCCACGAGCCATGTGGCAAGGTATAGATTAATGGAAATGGATTAATTTAAGCTGTAAGAACAGTTAGCAAGAAGCCTGCCACGACCATACAGTTTGTAACCAATATAAGTCTCTGTGTTTACTTGGTCGGGTTTGAGCGGCTGTGGGACTGGCAGGTGAGAGAGATTTGTCCTGACTGTGGGCCAGGCAGGAAAACTCTAGCAACACTCGCTAAGACAACTGATTGGTCTAAAAAAAAGATGAGCAACCAATAGTGAGGGAGGAGGTACAGGTGGAATTTTGGGGCAGTGAGAGTACATAGAAGGAAGAATTTAGGCTCAAGGAGAAAGGGAAGAAGATGACAGGGTCCAGACAGACAGACAGACACCGAGGAAACAGAAAAGTAGGATATACAGAATGAAATAAAGGTAAAAGCCCCAAGGCAAAATATAGATGAATAGAAATAAGTTAAATTAAGTTAAAAGGGCTAGTGGGACAAGCCTAAGCTAAGGCTGAGCACTCATAATTAATAATAAGTCTCCATGTCTTTATTTGGGAGCTAGTTGGTGGCCCAAAGAAAATGCCAATTACACCAGCCATTAAGTCTGCTTATGTTTGGCTAGGGACAGTCACATCTCATACTGTACATATTTATGTGGTACATATTTATGAGCCATAAATGGTTCATACTAGTGGCAGACTCTCTCTGTTTAGTTTCAAAAAAGTGAATGACCTGGTGGCATCTGTGGGTCTCACTGATGACACTGTGATATCAAGGACATTCAACTGTCGACTCATAGTCAATAAATACTACTGACAAATGAACAACAAATTTAAATAGGATGGTTATAATATTTTCAACTGTCAAGAAGCATAAACTCTTCACTCTAGAAAGAAAGGGGCTTTCAGTGAACTCATTAGTCAAGAACTGCAACTAATTCAATTTATATTCACCCTGTCATCTTGAAAATGTCCAACCTATATAATTTTAAAATAGAAAACATTAAAGTCCATGGCATTAATCTGGCATATCTAAACTTTCTGAAAACTGTTCCTCCCTAAGAAAACAAACAGCAACTGAACACTTACAGGGAAAGTAGAACTAGGTGAAATGATTAAAAAAATCAAAAGGAGTTAAAACAACGGGTGCAAAATAGAACAAGAAATCAAAACCACTAGATAAAAAGACATGTCTTTCCTTCTATCCTAAAACTGCAGAAAAACTACAAAGCCAGGACTCAACTTGAGATGTTTTAAAACAAAATGTGCACTCCTTACAAGTCAGTCTGAACTAGAAAGGTTCTTTCACTTATTTTCCCACATTTCCCCTGGGTTTTCAGAAAACTCAATTATGTTTCAATCTTTTATTATCTGCTAAATAAACTGAAAAATTAAACACATTTCCCCCATGAATTTACCATTATTCCTCTAGTGGCAAGTAACTTAAGGAACTCCACCAAGCAAAGGACCATTCCAGCCTGTTTTTGCTTGTCTGTCCTATTTTGAGACCTATTATTTTATGTGTACAGTGTTTTGCCTACATGAATGTCTGTGGAACTGGAGTTACAGATGGTTGTGAGCCACCATGTGGATGCTGGGCACCAAACCCAGGTCCTCTGGAAGAGCAGTCCGTGCTCTTAACCACTTAAACCAGTCGTTTTCAACCTGTAGGTCTCGACATCTTTGTGGGGGTTGAATGAGCGAGCCTATCACAGGGGTTGCCTAAGACCATAGGAAAACACAGATGTTTACATTACGATTCGTAACAGTAGCAAGATTACAGTTATGAAGTAGCAATGAAAATATTGTTATGGTTGGGGGTCAGCACAACATGAGGAACTGTACTAAGGATCACAGCATTAGGAAGGTTGAGAACCACTGACTTTAACCATCTCTCCACCTCATGTTGCCTTTTTTCTGTTTTCTTTTTTCTTTTTTTTGGTGGCAGTTAACAGGGAATGAACCTAGGGCTCCCACCATAACTAGATGACATTTTACTATAGAACCACATCAAGAAATTTGCGTTTTAACATTAAAAATTATTTGTTTGTTCTGTAAAACGTGCTGTGTGTGACCACAGGGCGCATGTGTCACAATGTATGGTGGAGGTCAGAGGACAGCCTTGGCTGTCAATTCTCCCTTTCCATTTCCTTGGAGACAGGGTTTCACTGATGCTGCCAGCAGGCTAGCTGGCCAATGAGCTTCCAGGGACTCTGCTGTCTGTGCCCACCCCCCCTCCCTCCCCACGCCCCATATGAACACTGGGATTACAGATGCCCGTGCTACAAGCTTGGTTCCCACATAGTTCTAGGGATTCAAACTTTTGAATCAATTGTGACGCAAGCAATTTTACCTATGGGGACAGCTTCCTAGACCTTCATTTTAAAATGTTGTCTGGGCTGGCCTCAAATATGTAATCCTCCTATATGAGCCTCCTAAGTAACTAAAACTACAGGTATACACCACCATTCTCAGCTCAACGATTTGAAGAATAAATTTGAAATTGGTAAATGATGTGTCTTTCTTCCTTCCTTAGTCATGGAGTCTATGACTATCCAGCTAAGGAATAATCACATCTACAATATTTCTTGACTATACACATTAAAATACATCAAACAGTTTCCTCTAATTGATTCTGTTTAGCTATTTGTTTAAAATAATGTTAGTTTATTAAAAATTTCACACTATACTACTTATTTCCAACAACATGAGCCAACATGAAAATATTCAAACCTAGTGTTGCTGTCAATATTTAATAAGACTATTCTTTAAAAAGCCTTATATGTTAAGTCCAAGTGCCCCAGCAAATACCAGAGCTTTGTTCTATATACAAGACTGTGCCCAAAGCAAAACCACTCAATATATAATTTTAATAATGAAAACCTACAGTATTAGAAACCAGGCCATGTAGAGAAAAAAACAAATCACCTAGGTAAAAGGGTAACAAACACTCACTGAAGGATAATGCAGCCCTCAGGAAAACCATGCATATGAATAAAGTTTATGAAACTGGTTCAGGGCCTCTGCAGAGAGAACCTTCAGTTTATTTTAAAGCTGCCTATAAAATGCTTTCAATATTGCAATATGAATTATTTATAGAATAGTATACATTTAACTTAAAAGTTACAATTTTATTGAAGGATCTTAAGAATTATGAGGGGAATCAGGAATGTATATAATATTTGGGTGATTCTTTAATTATATGATTTCCAGAGGAGTTAAGATTTCTTATTATCTGACCAAGTGACACACCTATCTGCTCCTTTTCATTTTCAAACTTAAAAAGTTAAATGGAGCCGGGCGGTGGTGGCGCACGCCTTTAATCCCAGCACTCAGGAGGCAGAGCCAGGCGGATCTCTGTGAGTTCAAGGCCAGCCTGGGCTACCAAGTGAGTTCCAGGAAAAGGCGCAAAGCTACACAGAGAAACCCTGTCTCGAAAAACCAAAAAAAAAAAAAAAAAAAAAGTTAAATGGAGAGTGAGATGCTCCCGCCTTTCATTTTAAAATTACACAGAATGCCTTTTAAAGTTAACAGTTTATAATGATATACATATTCTTGTAAGACACAACTGCTAATTCAAAACTGAATGGATCATACCTAAACTTGGCAATATATTTCCTGATGTGTCTGAAGTTAACACAGAGAGTTATTAACAGAGCGTCTGGATTTGAGGTTTTACTGTATGGCGCCACACGTTCCATTGAGAACATTCAAACAGATGCTATATTTAGACTATTCCTTTTAACCAATTTTCTGATTAGTCCTTAATGATGCAAGGGCTCTGGAGGAGGCCACAGAATGCTTGAACACTGTTTGTAGTCTATAGTCTTTTGAACTTTTTTTTAAGAGAATTAAGACACAATTACCCTGACTTACACAATCACATTCAAATGTAAAAGTCTTAGTTTTTAAAAAGTCTCCCCCAATACCTCAATTTCAAAGCAGAAACATGGCAGTGCAAGGGAAAGCACACTGAGGTCCAAAGCTGAGTGAGAGTTTCTTTCCCCAGCCAGTGACCTGGTGAGCCATGCTGACTGGCCAGGTTAAAACCCGAGCTCTCCAGGAGTCGGCAGTCAGCTTCCAGTTGTATATGAGAAAATGTTCCCTATTCCCCAACTTAACAACATGAATTCCTGTAATTAGCACAGGAAGTGTCAATTTATGAACACTAGAGGGCAGTAAAACACTGGGAGGAATATTTAAATTACAGGTCTAAAAGAGGCGTGTTAGTATATTCTTTTTTTAAAACCAAAATCCTAACACTTTAATGATGTTATTTTCTTTTATGCTGATGACACACAAAGCATTCTTTAGTACATCAGTTTGAATGCTACTTACTTTGCAAAATCCAAATAGGAAATGTGTCCATGATAAAACCCTGGTTTCATCTCGTTCCAGGTGGTTATATTCTTTACAAAGCGTACCTAAAAAAGGAGGACATATTCATTACCTCACTGCAATTTAAAGAAAATGATATCCCACAACAGCAAAACACCTCCTGCTCAGGAGCAGGACCAGTCCCAGCATTTCAACAGTTACAGAGCTGGAAGACATGTTTGAAGTAAGAGCAGTTAGTAGAATCTGTATGTACTATTTACCACACCCATGTACAGTGGAGTACATTTACACAGGGTGGCAGGAGAGTGTGGGAGTATTTCCCCCCCAAGAGGGTAAATCATAATTGCCAACTTGACTAAAGTGAAATCAACTAAAAGATAAGCCGCTGGCACAGCTGTAAGGGATATTCTTGATCAGCTGATCTGCAGTGGGAAGGTCCACACTAGATGTGGCAGCCAGATGGGAAGAGGATGGGGAGAAGGCTGTATGTGCCTGCCTTTGCACCTCCCTCTGAGTTCTTTACCCCGCAGCTGCCTGTACGGCTGACACTGCTCTAACTGCCTGCACCACTGCCGCTACTGTAGCCGCTGCATTCTTCTGCAGATGTCAGAATCCAGGTTCTTCAGGCTTCGAACTTGGACTGAAGATGAGTTGCTCTAGACCCTCAAGGCCAAGCAGGCACTCCTCGTGGACTGAACAGTTACAGGATCAGCTGCTCCAGTGTTTAAGTACTCACTGTTGAACTACTCGGAAAGCATCATGAATAAGACATTCTAATACTTGCTCTCTTTTATAAGGTTTATTTATATGGTTGCATGTGTATGTATCTATGTGTTTCTGTGCACATGTGTGTAGAAGCCAGAAGAGGGTGTTGGGTCTCATGGAGCTAGAGATATAGGTAATATGAGCTGCTCCATGTGGGTGCTGGGAACCAAATTCAGGTTTTCTGAAGAGGAGCAAGCCCTCTTAACCAATGATCCACTCCAACACGATCCACTTTTACTATACTTACATACACACAATATAAATGGGTGTGTGTGTGTGTGTGTGTGTATTCATGCTACCGAGTCTGTTCCTCTAGAGAACCCTGGCTGTCTTAATTAGGGTTTCTATTACTGTAATATAAAATGCCACAACCATAAGCAACTTAGGGAGGAAAGGGTTGATGTCACTGACATTTCCACATTACAGTCCATCATCAAGGGATGTCAGTGCAGGAACTCAACAAAGCAGGAACTGATGCAGAGGCCATGAAGAGCGATGCTTGTTCCTCCTGACTTGCTCAGTTTGCTTTCTTAGACACACCTGCCCAGGTGTGGTGCTGCCCACAATAGGGTAGGCCTGCACACATCAATCATGAATCAGGTAAATACCCCCACACACTTGCCTGTAGGCCAATCCTATGGAGGTATTCTCTTGATTAACATTTCTTCCCAGATGAGCCTACCCTATGTCAAGTGGACATAAAACTATCAACAATATGCAATGACGCTAGCAAGCAACATTTCAATGTAAAGAATTCACTGAGAGAGAGAGAGAGAGAGAGAGAGAGAGAGAGAGAGAGAGAGAGAGAGAGAGAGAGTGTGTGTGTGTGTGTGTGTGTGTGTGTGTGTGTAAATTAAAAGCAGATCTCATGAAACCTTGGTGAGCCTGAAGTTCATCACATATTCAAGGATGACTTTGTAACAGCTCTGGCTGTCCTGGAACTCATTCTGTAGACCAGGCTGGCCTTGAACTCACACAGAGATCTGCCTGCCTCTGCCTCCCAAGTGCTGGAATTAAAAGCGTGCACCACCATGCCTGGTGACTTGGAATTCTTGATCCTCCTATCACCACTCCCCAAGGGGTTACAGTTATGTTCCACCATACCCTGTTCATTCCATATGTTAAATATTTCCTTCTCTAATACATTATTCAAAAAGTAAACATAAAAAGGTATTTCTATTTATGCTTCAACAAATTAAAATACCAAAATGATTAAAGATAATGATTATAAGCAGATTTTAAAGAGTGGATATATAAGCTTGTTCAAATTAAAACATTTAACATATCCAAATATATAAAATTTCCTTTTACTTTTAAGAATTATGTTTGTATTTGTATGGATCACTGTGTGGGTTTGTGCAATGTGAGCAAGACAGCAGGTATCCACAGAATCCATGAGAGGGCTGGATCTCTTGGAGCTGGTGTTACAGACTGCTGTGAGCTGCCCGATGTGGTACTGGGAACTGAACTCAGGGCCAATGCAAGAGGAATATACACTCTTAACTGCTAAGGCAATTCTCTAGCCCTTAAATACTTCTTAATTTACTGGAATTGGAAGCACACAAAAAGTTAACATGAAAAATAAGTGGACATTAATTATTTTTAAAGAATTGAGAGAACATTTTGAAAAAGGAAAGAAAATAACTGGTTAACTTAAAGAGTTTGAATGCCAGCAGCTACACAATTTCTCAAAGGAAGTTAGTCCACACAATACACAGCAAGTGGTCAGGACTCTGTTCTGGAGACTAGACACACATGGCGAGGCCCACTACTCTACACTGTGGGGAAGGCAGACTGTTCACGGGTCCCAGAAGAACAGAGCCTGCTGTGGATATCACTCTGTATGCTGTGAATGTGTTGCTCTGATTGGTTGATAAATAAAATGCTGATTGGCCAGTAGCCTGGCAGGAAGTATAGGCAGAATAAGCAGAAAAGGAGAATTCTGGGAAGAAGAAAGCTGGTGAGGAGACACCAGCCTGCCGTCCAGGGAGCAGCGTGAAATGGCACACAGGTAAAGCCACGGAACACGTGGAGACATATAGATTAATAGAAACGGGCTGAGTTTAAGTGTAAGAACTAGCCAGCAGTAAGCCTGAGCTAATGGTCATGCAGTTATAATGAATATAAGCCTCTCTGTGTTTACTTGGGGGGTGCAAGTGGGAGAGATTTGTCCAGACTGCCAGCAGGCTGGGACACAGGAAAACTTCTGTCTACAAGAGCCCGCATTTCCGACAACGTATCAGTCTTTCATCTACATTTTAGACCTGAGTTACACTGATCTATTCTACATGACCTTGACTTCTGTCACTATAGCAGTGACTGAGGATGACTGCTTTCTACAGAGGGCCTGCTGGTAAGTTAGGGACAGAACAGGTGCAGTCACAGTCAGAAAATGTCCATCAGATAAAACAAGGTTCTGAGACAGTTTAGTTTTAAGGGGACACATTATTAACTGATACACTGATGCAAATGATAGTAACATTAAGAGCCACATACACACATGTATGTGTGTGAGGTTCTTGTGCTCTCATATTCATTCTTATTGTTTTTTTTTGTTGTTGTTTTGTTTTGTTTTGTTTTGTTTTTTTTGAGACAGGGTTTCTCTGTGTTGTTTTGGTGCCTTTCCTGGAACTCACTCTGTAGAGCAGGCTGGCCTCGAACTCACAGAGATCTGCCTACCTCTGCCTCCCGAGTGCTGGGATTAAAGGCATGCACCATCACTGCCCGGCTCCTATTCATTCTTTAAGTTAAGCACTAAGCAGATTAAAAATATAAAGTAGCAAATGAAAAATAAAGTATTAGATAATCCAAAATCTAAATCTGTAAAAACTGCATGACATGAAATGTGTTTGTAATAATAGTTAATTATGTTGGGTCCTATGAAAATCAATTATAGTATTTCTACCAAAAATAAAGAGGGGTTGGACAGATGGCTCAGTGGTTAAGAGCACTAGCTGCTCTTCTAGAGGAAGAGGAACCTGGTTGAATTCTCAGCATCCACATGGCAGCTCACAACCGTCTATACTTCCAGTTCCAGGGGATCTGATGTCCTCTTCTGGCCTCTGCAATCACCAGCCAGGCACATGATGCACAGACATACATCGGGCAAAACACCCATATATTCATTCAAAAAAAAAGAGGAGGTGAAGAGGTGATTTTCACAGTATAAGACATGCTTAGAAACTCAGGTGTTTGCCAAAAGCTGAGATTTAATGTGGACAAGGTGGTTTAGGAGGGGAATGAAAAAAAAATGCTAGATTAGATTCTAAGGAAATGCTGTTGCAGAAAGTAAATGTCAGGGGACCAGAACATACAAATATGAAGTAGAATGTGGTAAGAGACTCACAGAAATAGAAGTCAGACGTGTACTCCAAGCATCTTCTCCTTCCCCCAAGACATTCCTAAGGATGGTCAATATTAATCTGAGGCATCTTGAGGATGAATGCCACATCCAAACATTCTTTAACATGGGGAATCTCAGGAAGTTGTTGAGCTGGACCCTGATATAGCAGGTCTAAAGGAGTACCTGGAGCTCTGCATTTCATTCATTCATTCATTCATTGAGACAAGGATTCTCTCTATAACAGTCCTAGCTGTCCTGGAACTCCCTCTGTAGACCAGGCTGGCCTCGAACTCATAGAGATCTGTCTGCCTCTGCCTCCCAAGTGCTGGGATTAAAGGTGTGCGCCACCACCGCCCAGCAAATTCTGCATTTCTAATAAACCCACAGGAAGTGTGTTGTTCATCCCTGGACCACAGTAAAGAACATCGTTTCAGAAGGTGTGGGCTTAGGAGCAGCTCTTACCTTTATTAACGTGAGGCTTGTTTTGTGGCGCTAGCAAAGAAGGCCCGAGGGCTACAGAAACTCTGGGGCAAGGTTATCCTCCTACCGTTACAGAAAGAAACATGGAGATCCAGCAGGGTTTTCGGTAATCATATGAGCTACTCCAGTACATAAAACCAAGAAGAGGGCAGAAGCACTGAACTCCACCTACTTTCACTCTCTTTCCTGAACTCCCACCTCTCCAGGGAGGCCTGAAGCACACTAGAAGTGAGCATTTCAAAGAAACAGTTCACAGATTAAAGTCCTTCCAGTTGGGTTGAGGAAGTTTGTTAGAGGCAGGGGACAGAAGCAAAGGCAAGAATATTATGCTATAACCAATCTTGAACTTACTGTAGAATCAGAACTTTAGAGGTGGAAGAGACCAAGGAAATCCTGTAGTCTTTATTTCTAGAAGGACACTGAAAACCGAATTATCTTAGATTGACTTGAACTGTGGGGGGCTGGCTCAAGAGGTTTCAGAGGAGAAGAATTTTATTA